TCTCTCTCTGCAGTAACTCTGAGCATCTGGCCAGGACATTGGCAGGTTCATATAATTATACTGACGAGAAACAGCAGAACTGCTGCAGAAGAGCCCTGTAAAAACCAACATGTTAAACCATCTATATGTGCACATCAGCATAAATACAGATTATAAATCAAGTCAAGTTGAGCTTTATTGTCAGTTTGCTAAAAGTGTGCACAGACAATGAAACAAAATGTCATGACTTGCAGGCACACTGTGCTACATAAATAAACATAATCATGAACACAACACAAGACGTAAGAGGTGTTTTAAACCTATTTTAAATAAACAACCAAACTAACCTGACAGCAGAAGTAGCCCAACCAGACTCTCAACCATGACTGCTCACACAGTATGCCACTTCTGTAAATGAGAAATGGGACATGAAGCAAACTTACTGTATTATTTTATTTCAAGAAATGCACACCAGTTTGCATGATTATAAACTGGCCTATGAAGTCATGGGGGTAATCTACATATAACTAGTCTTGCACAGAATATTTTATAATTTACCAGATACTAATGTAAACCACCTCCAAGTGTTTTCAGATATCACAAATCAAATTAAACTCTTACCTGTTTTCTTCAGTCAGTTCTTTGGGTGTTTACACAGAGAAAAAAAACTTGTACCGTCACACAAGGATGGTTTAACTTGTTAAAGTAATGACATTTTAAATCCCCCCATACTATAACACTCCCTGCTCTCTTTGGCCAATTTTGATTAAACACACCCATGAACAGCCAAAGTGGGAAGGTTTGACAAGAACAGAATCTGCAATGTGGAACGGATCTTAAGCTCTTTAGTCTAACAAATCCCCCAGCCCTCAGAAATTTGTTTATAAAATGTCTTGGAAAATCCCAAGTACCAACAAGAGTGATTTTTTGTGATGATAAACTTGAGTCATTTAATTAGCTTGTTTCAATCCTTCAGATTGCCTCTTAATTTGTGTTACCCTTCATCATTGATGTGAGTGGAGACACGATGTAGCTGAAGTTTCGTATAATTCGGCAATAGAAGTTAGCGATGCTTAGGAATCTTTGTAGTTCTTTTAAGATGCTGGGTTTGGGCCTTGGTAGTGCTCTCACCTTGCCCTCCTCCATAGCTACTCTCTCTTATAAAATGATGTGTCCCAAAAAGGATACAAAGGTTTGTAGAATCTCACATTTTTCAATTTTAGCACATAATCTGTGGTCAATCAGTCGCTGTAATACTGCTTGTACATGATGTACAATTTTATCATAGGAGTCTCAGCCACCGGTTGAGCATGTCCCATAAGATGTCATTTATGAATGACTATTTGAAACACAAACAGACAACTGCCCTTCGGCCAGTCAGCATGACTCAATATTCATAGTGCCCAGTGCTGGTAGAGAATGCTGTCTTCCATTCATCTCCCTCCTTAATGCGGATTAAGTTGTATGTGCGCCGAAGATCCAATTCGGTAAAAAAAAAAATCAGACAGGTAACTGTTCAAGTGCAGAGGGGACTAAGAGTAATGGATATCTGTATTTGACAGTGATTTCATTGAAACCTCGATCATTTGTGCAGGGGCAGAGCTCCCCATCCTTTTTCTCCACGAAAAAGAACCCCACAGCGGCTAGTGACGTTGTCGACTGCATAAATCTCTTGTCTAGTTCTTCCTCCATATACTTTTTTTTAAGCTGATCAGTATGCAATCAGTAGTATTCACAGGGCAAAACAAGACTTCACACTGAACACATGGAGAGTATCGGTTTATTTGAGAGAGATGAAATCATCTAATTAGCTCCAGGCACAGGGTTTTGGAAAAAGGAGTTTGGATAGGGTTAGTACTCAGAGGATAAGGGCCTTTGCTGGTTGGTAAGGGGAGTACAAGGGACTGAACTGTTGACAGATTCAGTAGATACAATCACTTTATTTCAGATTACACAAGAGGAGAACATTTACACAAGTGAGAAATGTATTTGGACAAAGGCGACTTTTGCATAGTTAGTTTAAGTGTAAACTCAATGGAGCTGGTCCCATACTGAACTCGCATGTCAATTTATTTGAAGCTAACTCTTTAATCCTGATTTTACTATTTGGAAATCTTACAATGCAAATGCAAAAGAATACTCCCTGTATACATTTGTATATTGTAAGTTTAAAATTGTAAAGATTGACAGATGTAGTTATCAAAAGTGAACAGGAAAAATGCAGTATGCAATAGGCTATTGTAATATATAGTTGAAGTCAGAGCCCCCCACCCCATTGAATTAAAAAAAAAAAAAAAAATTCCCAAATGATGTTTAACAAAGCAAGGAAATTTTCACAGTATGTCTGATAATATTTTTTCTTCTGGAGAAAGTCTTATTTGTTTAATTTCGGCTAGAATAAAACCAGTTTTTAATAAAAAAAAAATGTTTGGGGCAAAATTATTAGCGCCTTTACAAGCCACCCTAATACAATGACTTGCCAAATTACCATAACCTGTTAACCTAATTAACCCACTTAAGCCTTTAAATCCACTTTAAGCTGTATAGCAATGTCTTGAAAAATAACTACTTAAATATTATTTACTGTCATCATAGCAAAGATGAAATAAATCAGTTATTTGAAATGAGTTATTAAAACTATCATAGTTATGTGTGTTGAAAACAATCTTCTGTCCGTTAAACAGAAATGTTATCAAGTATACAAGCCATTTTAGACTTATTTATTCTTTCAAAAATTTATGTCATAAAATGCATTTAAATCCACAGCATTAAATCATAATTTAGTTAAACTTTTTTCATTTAGAGAATGCACTTAAGCTTATTTTTTAAAGTCATGCTAGATTCATGATTAAACAATCTAAGAAGTAAATTATTTAGTGATATTTAGATAATAGAGACTTATTTAGATAATAATTAACAACATCAGAGCTCCAGTGGTTTTTCCTGCCAGTGTGACAAAAACGTTGTTTGATGCCATTAACAATGTTGGCTAAAGCAAATGTTTCTAAGAGATTTTATTTATTTCAATGTTCTTTGTACAAAAATGGCCAAATAGATTTTTTTAAAACAATTTTATGCACATAATTTGACTTTTTAAAGTAATTTGAATTTTCATCAGTTAAAAATAAAAGTATAATGCCATGTCTTAACAGACTTTTTTACAGTAAAATAAATTGATGAAGACGTCTTTAAACAAATGTGTGTACTTCAAATACAATACCTTAAACTTTACATAGGGATCGATTTGTCACAGCCTTTGACGAACTTTGCTCTAAAGCTTCTGAGCACCAGAATACAAGCATTGAAGATGCATTGGAGATGCATTGGAGTACGGAATACCAGTATATCTTCACTGCTTAATGACAGTTTTCAAACACAATGATTAATCTAGCTATTACTGTAAAGTATATAGATCAGATGTATGGAGCATTACAACTATATTCTACTTTTTGTTATGAAGTGTAAATCGTTTTGATATTCAAGTAGCTAAATTACTAATTTGAAGACATTTTTTTTTCACTAATCAGAATATCTTGAAGATATTATGAGACAATATAAAAACACTACAAGTCATAACAAATCTACAACTACAATGTCACAATATCATAATTACAGTAACATCAGTACAACTCATAAAAGATTGAATTATCATGTCTGTGTTTTTGAAAACAGCAGGGGAATATTAAATTTTGGCAACAACAGTACTTTTTAATATGAATAAATTATAAAAATAATAATAGCTAAGTTATTCTGTGGGTAAAATTATGTTTTTATTGGTTTGATTACACAGAAAGGGAATACAATTCTATCCCAGAGCACTTAGGAAGAAGCAGGCTATCTTTGCATACTTGGTCTAAATGCAAAAAGAAAAAAGCTACAGTAGTCCCACACTGAACTCTGGATTGAATAGGTCAATTGATTTGAAGCCAGTCTTTTAGTCCTAGTTTTACAATCCAAATTTGCTTTATTTCACATAATTTTGGTTACATGCAAAACACAATACACATGATTACAACACACATCCAGGCATCACAGGAAAATTGGAATAATATGCACAGGATGTTATAATTCCGATGAAATTTACAAAAAGTGTGTTATTGTAAATCAAATATATCAAACTGTAATGCTTACATACAGTACATCAAGTCTACAAACTGTTTTTGAAGTATATTTTCTAGAGATCATACAATATATTAAAACTAAACCATCAAAGGGATAGTAATTAGATAGTAAAGAGATAGATTACCCAAACATGCAAATGGTTTCATCATTTGGTTACCCTTTACTTGTTTAAAACCTTTGTGTGGTGGGGAAGGCGTGATCGAACACCCAGTAGGAGAGGAGAGCAAGCAGAGACACCGGCGGCTGGTCAGTGGTCTAATCATAAATAATTATTAACACCTGTATTTTCAAGTGATTGGGCCGGAGAGACACCTTCATAAGGGGAGGAGAAGGAGAAGCCGGGAGAGAGGAGAGCCTGTCCACCTGCAGACTCGACACGCACATACCCTCACATCATTATAAATAAAAGTTTGTGCTTACCTGATATCGCCGACCCTGCCTTCTTCTTCCCACAAAACGAACATTATTACACTTTGTTTTTCTTTTTTTCTGTTGATTGAAAATTTTGGAGAAAGCTGCAAACCTGTAACTATTGATTTCCATAGTAGGAAAAATAAATACTGTGAAAGTCAATGGCTAAAGCTTTACAGCTTTCTTCTAAATGTCTTCTTTTGTGTTTAACAGTAGAACAAAACTCATAAAGGTTTGATACAAGTAAAGGCTGAGTAAATGATGACATAATTTTTATTTCCTCCATTTAAACGCAAATTACAGGATAAATGAATCTCCCTTCATTGACATATTCACTAACCTAGAAAGCATATAATCATGGAGACTTTTAAATGAATAGATAATGCTATTACTACTGCACAATTCTTCAAAAACTACAAACAAAAACTTTTCTTAACTTTATGATTATGAGTTTTAGTAGAGTTCATTTCAAAGAGATACACTGAAGATTATGGTATATTTCCACATTCTTGTGAATTTTCCGTACGGTTGCTTTTCTGAGCAGATACTTCTTCCTCTTTACTCTTAATCCAGCTTATCTTGCTGTCACTTTGTAGCCCCATGCCCTTCAGCCTTTCAGTTATCTGGAAAACCGGGAAGAAAAAGTATCAATAATAACAGTGTTGGGCAAGCTACTTGGAAAATGTAATGAGTTAAGCAATTAGTTGCTTTGCTTAAAATGTAGCTTAACTACACTAAATGATACCCCCTGAGAAATATAGCAAGCTAAAAGCTACTTTGCATTAGTAGCTTAGCTGCATATAAGCTCTTATTTTTCACTTTTAAAATAGAGTAACTTCTGTCTCAGTGAGCAGTAATGACACATATATAGCATAATTGTTAAGTTCAGTTATTTAATTAATATGCTGTTCCAAACATAAAAAAAAATTTACTAGACAGAAAAAACAAACAAAAAATCACGAAATTTTGTGTTGCACATTTAAAACTCTATAGTAATGTATAGTAAAGGGAAATGTTGTGGGAAGTTTGTATTATATGTGTCTTACACAAGTCCTACATGATGGTATTGTGGTGTTTACTTCGATAATACCTCTAATATCTGCATACTCCACTTGGCTTAATTCCATTTCTGTTTAGTTCAGTTATGACTTTAGTCAGATTAAGATAATCAAAAATCATTGTTTCGAGCTTATGTAGAGTTCAACAGTTCAAAATGAATGTTTAACTGAATAAGTTAGTAAACACAAGTACATCTTATTGAACATCATTTATTTTCATCACTAATTATCACAGTAGAACAGTTTCTCAAGCCGTTTGGAATGCATTTTGGAGACAGACAGGAGACAGATCTAATGCGCCACCGGCTTGAGAAACCTGTTCTCAAAGACTTACGTTTAGTCATTATTTGGATATTATATATATAAAAAAATCTATGCCCACCTATTATATATATATATATATATATATATATATATATATATATATATATATATATAACAGAGCATGCGCAAACTTTTGTTGGGGGAACATTTTTTTTTTGGTATTCTATAGAACCATGGCATGTTGTTTGATAGTATTTTAAAATTATTACATTTAGTAATATCTTGTGTTGCATTAGGTCATTTGACATTTTTGCAAATAATATATTATTATCATTATAATTATAATTTGCAAATAAATTATGAGCGTATTTGTTTAACTATTAGGGAGAAGGTCAGTAGTTAAGGCCAAATGGAAGTCCACAAACAAGATTCTTGCATAATTCCCAGTTCTGTCAAGGTGTTGCCGAACATAATGTAGTCTCATGTTGACTGCATCATCCACAGAACTGTTTGCTTTGTTGACAAAACTATAGAGGATCTAGCAAAGTTCCTTTTCAATTTTTGTAATTTGTTCCTGGCCTGATAGGGCTTTTATTTGAAAAAAAAAAAAAAATTCCCTAAATTTTTCGCAAAAAAAAAAATTCCCTCTACAAAAAAACATGTGGTGTTATTAACCTATATAATACTGTACTATGTTTTTCTAGCATCTTTCTCTGATTAGGTTTTGTCTTTGTTCTTTAAGTGTCTCAAACTTTTTTTTCTGAAAATTATGTGACAACAACCATAATAGGACAGTTTACTTGAGATTTTATTGTTGACTTATGTAATTACTTACGAGTTACCGAGTTAGCGAGCCTTCTAGATTTGAGGATTTTTTAGGATTTTTGTCTTGGACTTATTACCTAAGGACATTGCAAATATGTCCACAAATGTAAACAAACTTTAGTAACTGAAAGGGACTTTAGTAAAGATGACTTTGAAAAGCCCTTGTTTGAGTTGAGAAAAGTTAATTGATGGGATTTTTGTCTTGGACTTGCTACCTAAGGACGTTGCAAATATGACAACAGGGTGAACGAACTTTCCTTGAAAGGGACCTTTTCAAGTTTGAGTTGAGAAAAGTTCAGTAGTTTTGTTAAGAATAGATCTGATATTTGCTACATGCATCGACACATAGCACTGAGGTGCTCACTGTGACACGAGTTCGAGTCCCGGCACGAGGTCTTTAGTTAAAATAATATTACCATTATTATCATTATCATGCCTGATTCTGAGGTTGCACAGGAAGGGTAATGGCGCATGGCTGTAATTCAACGAACAAGCACACAGTTATTTTAATATTCATTTCAATGTGCTTTCAAGCCAAATTAAAAAAAAAGCAAGATTCTCTTCAACAGCTCTTGTAATTATATCCCATTTGAGAGCAAGTGTGCCCCTTCAGGGCTCGAAATTACCCTTTTTTCTTGGTAACACTGGTGCACCTACCAAAAGTTGTGAGCTACTAATAACTGTGCTGTTCTCACAGGTGCTGTCTGATATTGCACACATAATATTGACATATAACTTATTTACTTACGTAATCTTAACCACTAATTAGATGTGCCATTATTTGTAACTTTAGGTGGTTTCTACAGCTAAATCGGTCAGTGTTGTTTTCATTCTCTCGTATCCAGACCTTTACGTTTTCACGACTATAGCTCCCTGTCATCGGAGTGATTGACAGCTGAAATTAACCAATTCAATCGCATTCTGTTCTAGCGCAGTGGGCCATTAAGAAGAGCTTGAAGGTGGGGCGAGCACTGCGGGCTTTGTTTACTGCAGCAAGTTGACATGTCAACTGTTTTAAACCATTCCTAAGCAGCTGCGTTGAATGTTTTTAGGTTCAAAGATGTGTGAATGCCTCTTAAATCTGTGCATGTGGTGAATATTTTGCAGTGAAAACTGGTCGCACAACATGTTATGCACGCTCACAAATGCTCCCAAATATACTTTGACGTCGCAAAGATAAAATTTCAGGGCCCTGCCCCTGGTGGTACGGCAAAGTTAAGAGTAAAGGAAAGATTGGTAGATGTTACTGCCATCATTTTCAGAAAGTATAAAAATAGCCTGACATAATGATCGCAGGATGAAACGGTAAAATGTGTTCCAGGAATCCCCAAAAAATGGGAGGGTTGACAAGCATGCCAGATACAAACCTGATTCAGAACGACAGTCTGGAGTGAAGGATTATTAAGTGCACAGTTTCCATTACAAGACAGTTTCAGTCTGACAGTCTGCTTTCTGATGAACTTATCATCTAGGGAAATAAAAATTCAAAGTCATCTTTAATATAAAATCAGCAGTTTGTAATGCCTCTTTTAAGAGTTATTTATAAGCATTTGATGAGTCTTTTGTTTCTGTAACTGTTTATACTTACCTCCGTAGCAGATAAAAGGCTGCTGTAGATCACAGCTGTATGGAGCCCATTTTCCAGAATCAGTTGTTGTCATGCCGACGCAGTCAACAGATCCTGCACTCTGAAATGGTTGACCTGCTGCCCAGTATCTGAAGGAGCCATTCCATTTGTCAGACCATTTCCAAGAGTCTCGGTACAGACCAATCCATAGAGGCATTAGGTAGTTTGCTAAAGTGTGTAGAGTGCTTTTGTTTTTTTTGCTGTAGATGGGAGCCAGATCTGTAAACTGCTTTCTGCAGTAACTCTGAGCAGCTGTCCAATTCATCTTAATAAGTGTCATGCGATATCCATTAAATTCTGTCAAGAAATTCAAAGTTACAGTGTTCAGCTACATATAGTGGAAAGACCACTTCAGAGTTTTAAATTCTTTTTTTTTTTAGTTTTGCATTGTAGTGTGTTGTGCAATGAGTAAAATGTTTAATGTATCGCAGGGGTGTCAAAGTCAGTTCCTGGAGGGCCACAGCCCTGCAGTTTATTTCCAACCCTGCTTCAATACTTACCTGTAGGTTTCAAACAATCCTGAAGGACTCAATTAGTATCATGAAGTGTATATGATTAGGGTGAAAGCTAAACTGTGCAGAGCTGTGGCCCTCCAGGAACTGAAGGTGCGTCCCAAATGGCCTACTATACACTATGCGCTTATACACTTACACACTACAGCATAGTATATGTGTGTAATGTCATCCTAAATGGAACACTAATGTTTGGAAAGAGGAAATTTAAACTGTTTCCCTGATGACGTTTGCCAAATTAGTAAAACAAAAGACCAAACTACCAAATAATACCTGCCAGGAGTATAACCGCATTCACCATTGGGAGGCGGTATAATCACTCATGAATGTGAATTTGCTTTCACAATTAAAAATAAATAATCCAATATCATTGCCTGAGAGCTCTACCCTTTCCGCTACGTGAGCAAAGCAGTGACCGTTGAGTGCATGAAGTGTCCAACATTACACACTTAGGGAAGTTTATTTATAAACTAATTTTGAGAGGATTGTGTGATTATGATTGAACATGGCTGGTTACGCATTAACTAATGTACGATTCACCAATAAAATGATTCCTAACCCACTATATAGAGCCAGGATTTCTCACTACAGTCATCTTCGATTTGAAGAATCCCCCCTTCCACACCTACTCCTCCACCTTTCCCTTCATAAGGGCGGCCCGGTGGCCCAGTAATTAACACTGTTGCCTCAGCAAGAACGTCACCGGTTCCAGTCCTTAAACAGGTAGGTTGTTGTTTCTGTGCAAAGTTAGCATGTTCTTCCCATGCTCGCGTGGGTTTCCCCTGGGTTCTTTGGTTTCCTCCCACAGTACAAAAACATGCACCATAAGTGAATTGGTCAATCTAAATCCAGCACTACAGTCAAAAGCATATCTCGTCACACTGATGATTTTCTGACATCAGCTTTTCAGATTTTCAGACCTACCTGAGCTCAGAGCTCCCCTCTCGCCCTGCAAAGGGCAGGGAGCCCAGGGCTCAAGGACCTTTGAGCTCAGGACTCTCTCCCGGGACAGCATGCCAAACTTGCTTTATAATCAATCATCAGCTAAGTGTGAACTCTTGTAATTTTAACGGTTGAATAAGTGTATCATCCGTGTATTTTTTCAGTGTGAAAGTGCTACTTACACTATTTATACTACAAAATGGCATAGAATAGTGCATAAGTATTCAATTTGGGACACACCTGGAGTTTGACACCTGTGTTCTAAGTGAACCGGTTGAATTAGTTCACCAAATCGAACTGAATCATTTGAAACAATTTGCATCTCCAATAAGAACTTTTTCACAAACTACTTACTTTTTACCATGTCTGATACCCCCTCAGACTCAAAATAAACCAATTTCCCAAATTATTGAGTTATTAGAACAGTATACAGAGATTAGATTTGGGAACCGGTGAACTGATAATACTGCACAAGCGTGATACAGCAGGTGAACCAAACACAAACTGTATATAACAGCTACTATTACTATTACTTATATTAGTGATCCTAATTGCGAACTAATTGTTCTTTTTAACCAGATCTTCTAAGTCAGGGGTGTCAAACTCAATTCCTGGAGGGCCGCAGCCTTGCACATTATAGTTCCAACCCTGCTTTAATACACTTAAAGCTGCAGTTACCCTGGACTTTTCTCCCCATAGACTTCCATTCATACGCACGCAAATGCGTCAAACCGGAAATGTAAGCTTGTGCGACAGCTTTCGCAGTTCGCTGCGGAGCAAAGTTCCAGTTTGGTGAACTTTTACCTTCAAAATTGCAGCTCATGACTGCATAAGATCAATTGAAGAGCAAAACATGACTTTTCTGTACAGAAGTTTTAAATATGGGCCAATAGCTCACTTTTTAAAATGTCTAATAATCTTATTTAATCCCGCTCCTTTTCACAGAGCTCTACTACAGAATTTCCAACACAATCTCACGGCAATTCTCACGTATGAATTCGTACAATCTAATTCGTACAATTTAGTACGATTTGCGCATCCCCAATGAAGGTTGGGGTTAGGGGTGGGGTTAGGTGCCACACCTTCTTTTTAAAATCGTACAATTTCGTACGACTGAACACGTAATGCTGCTTCCACACCAGACGCGGCACGCGCGTCAAGCATTAGAGCTAGTACGAATTAGCCACTAAACTGGAAAAGCGTAAAATACTTACGTTTCCTCGTGAGATCAGGCTGGAATTTCACATGCACAAACTTGAGTATGACTGCAGCTTGATGCCGTGTCAAACCCGCAAAACGCTCAATTCGTCCCGTGCAATTTGCGTCATTCGCGCCGCGCCATTCACGCGTATCGCACCGCAGGATGTCTATTCGCGCGTTTGCATTGACTTAACATGTAAATCACTCCTACTTGACGCGCATGCCGCATCTGGTGTGAACGCAGCATTAGGTGTAGGTTTCAAACAAGCCTGAAGAACTCAATAAGTTTGATCAAATGAGAGCTATTTACACAAACACACACCCTTTCCCAATAATCAACTCATATGTTTCATATCGACTTACCATTTTCTATAAATAAAGGCTCTAAATGATAATATTTTTATTTGATTTTTTTATAAAAACAATAAGAAATGTGAAACTGTACTTTAACTTACAATAATATCTTACATATTTTTTTCAGATATGTTTTGTAAATGCTGTACTTTTATTACAAAAACTGTAAACTCACCATCTAAGCATAATGCGCCATAGAGGTTAGAACATTTAGTGGTCAACCAAATGTCATTGAACAAAGCACAGTCATTTCCACTGGCTGGTTCTCCTGGAGCCCAGTCGCTGTACTTTGCGATTGTATCTTCTCCATTTGACCAAACCCAGTGATTCGATATCTCTCTCTTCAGTCCAATCCACACTGATCCACTGTATCCAGCATCCACAGTATTTATCAGCCTGTTCACATCATCCACGGTGTCTACAGTAGCCAGATCAGTGAATCTCTCTCTGCAGTAACTCTGAGCATCTGACCAGGACATTGGCTGGTTCATATAATTATACTGAAGATAAACAGCAGAACTGCTGCAGGAGAGCCCTGTAAAAACAACGTTAAACAATTTATATGTGCACATTATCATAAATACAGATTATAAATGACCAAACCAACCTGACAGCAGAAGCAGCACAAACAGACTTTCATCCATGACTGCTCACACTGATCTCCTGTGAGTGAAAAATGTGCTGGAAGATCATGGTGCAAATTCACTGTGGTATATATATTTCATTTCAAGAAATACACTCCATGTTCAAAATAAACAACTTGAAACTCGACAAACAACCAAATTATTCATACTATTTACCCATAATTTGTCTTCACACTAAATTTACCAATATCTTCAGTTATGTGAAGACATTTTTCATACATTTACATAATCATAAACTGGCCTGTGAGGTCATGAGGAAAATCTACATATAACTAGACTTGCACAGACTATTTTATAATTCTACGCATCCTCTATTCTCAGACAGCACAGCACTCACAATCCACTCTCTCAGCTTCTGATATTCACCAGCTACTGTTGTTAACCTGTGTTTTCAGATATCACAAATTAAACTTTTACCTGTTTTGTTCAGTAAGACTTCTTATAAGACTTATAACTTCGTATTTATTTACACAGAGACATACAACTTGTACCTTTACCGGGGAAGGTGGTGGACATGCAAAAGTGATTTGAACATCAAATCTTAATTTTTAAAATTTGTTAAACTAATGATGTTTTAAATTACCCCATATTACAACACTCCCTGTTCTCTTTGGTCCATTCAATTAAACACACCCTTAAACAACCAAAGTGGGCAGTTTTGACAGGAACAGAATAATCTGCAATGTGGACCAGACCTTAAGCCCTTTAGTCCAACAAATCTCGTACACCAAAGACATTTGTTTAAGAGATGTTTTGGAAAACTATGTTAATTCTTGGATTTCCCAACATGCAGTTCTAATCATTTGCAGATTTTTGTGATGACAAGACTTGCCATTTTGATATTCAAATTGCTTATTTTCTTTATTGGTCCTACCCATTTTGGCTTTGTGAACAGTGGACATTATCATGAATACAAATAGTAGGTAAATATAAAAACAATGAGTTGTATAATGCTATCTTGTAGCCATTATTGCCTATGAAAAGAAATAAGCTATGCGCAAACTGGACTTAATGGTACTTTTAAAGTTAATATTTAAAAGAACAAATATTTAATGTGCCATAGTAATTAATGTGTCATAAGTCTCACAACTCTCCTCTTTTATCTTTCAGTTCTATGCTGTTTCTATTTAGTCCAATCCACTGTATCTTATCCACTATATTTACCATATTGACTTTTCACATCATCTATGGCATCTACAGTACAGTTGGTAAACTGTACAATTAGCAAAACAGAAAACTTATGCTTTTGCTGATAAGTGTAGTTTAGATACCAAATGGTGTATTCTGAAGCCGCTGTTTATATTTTATAAAGTGTGTTTCTAATAAGTAGCAATATAAGAACGTTTGGGGTATGAGTCCACGCAGTTTATGTTGTAGAACAGAGCTGTCCAATTTGACAATAAATATCTTATTGACCAATTAAAAAGTCTATTGTGTCATAATATGGTCTATTCTGTATTCATTGTTTATGGTGTTTTTGAGTGGAATATTATACACCATTATGGAGGATGCATAAATAACTGCATCTTAAGAAAGTTGCAATTCAGAAAGTGCTATGTTTATATTTAGCGTCTAATTACAAGCATTAAAACAGAGCTGAATACACAAAAAAATGCGGAGAATAATTATTATGAATAGAAAAATCGTCAGTAAAACTTATAATAGTTTAAATTATTAGGTCTAGACTAGAAAGGTGCAGATTTCTGGAAACAGTAATGAAATATCCCAAGTCAGAAACAATGTTACTTTTTAAAATGAAGAAATAGTAATAGGTGAATAATTCTGTAGGTACAATTGTGTATTGATTGGTTCGGATTACACAAGAAGGGAATAATTTCCATTAGGGAGTAACTTATTATTGTTAACAAATCTGCGAGAAAATAGATAAAAAGAGCAGAGCTGCAGTAAAATAATGAATAGAAAGGCTGTGGTCGAGTAAATAAATAAATACATTTAAAAAATGTGACTGCTGAGAGCAACAGATTCTAGAGCTAGGGAAACTGGCCCTTGCGGCCAAAAAACAGACCGGTCCACCGGGAATTCTCCCGGTCCTCCTGATTAGCCAGTCCGGGCCTGCCTTCAACTATCATGTCATTGATTTAGTTCAATTTAATATTATGGCCATTGACGATGCTTGCTATGCTCAATTTCAAAATTTACTTCACAAGAATAACGTTTTGCATTTTAATACAAGCAGTCAGATAGGCTATAAGAACTCAACCTATAACTCTACCTGCTCAAAGAAAGCACACTACTTGAATATATTAAACAAAAGGCACAGAAGACAACAGGAGCATTTGGAGCAAATACACAAATTCATTTCAATTCATCTTTATTTCTATAGCGCTTTTACAATGTAGATTGTATCAAAGCAGCTTCACATAAAAGTTCCAGTAAATTGAAACTGTGTCAGTCCATTTTTCAGAGTTGAAGTTCAGTTTGGTTCAATTCAGTGTGGGTTAATTTTTACTGCTGAAAGTCCAAATGCAACTCCGCCGGTCCTATGCCACCCAACCCGCTCCGAGCTGGGATTTACCGGCAACCTTCCGCATGGGAGTCGATTACTCTAACAAGGAGGCTAAAGACCTTGGCCTCTAGCCTCTGTTGCTAGAGCACCTTTAGAGGTCAGAGGAGTGAGGTTTATCTGCACAGCATCTACTAGCTGGCCTCCGTTACACTCACCCCCCTAAACCTGGCGAAAGTGACAAGGAACAAACCTCACCAATTAACAAAAGTGAAGGAAAAAGAGAGAAAGTGTTTAGTAAACAACAATACCACTTGCTTTTTGATTGCTGTCGAACGAGATCTTTCAGTTCAAGTTTACTTCAGAAGTTTAAAAAAAAAAAATGCTACTTAAATGAGCAGAAGGTAGGGAAGTCAGCGTGATGGGGAAGACCGAGGGCTTCATGAATCAACAATGTGTAATTATTGAACTCCTTAGTAGTGACTTCTCTAAAAAGAAAAGATTCCTCTGACTTCTCCAAATTCCTCCAATTGCTGTAACTGTCACGGTTCATGGATCCATGTTCTCCTTTTCTGTTGCTGTGTCTGTTGCATGGGTGTTTTTGTTTACCTTTGTTTTTGACAGCATACTTATCAGTCAGCTGACTCATCAGTGCGCACAGCTGCAGCCCGTTACTACTGCCTATATAAGACCCGGCTGTCTACCTTTAGGCATTCAGTCGTTCATGTTGTTATTCTGTGTTTCAGGTCTCACCCTGTGGTCTGTGGAGAGTGACTTTTGCATACTTATGATTCTGGTCTTGCCGGCTATCTACGAGTCATGTTATCTGTCTGAACCTAAGTTACTTTTTACTTGCAATTGGATCCGGCTTTCCCGTCACTTATGACCGTAACAGCGCACAACACAAGGGCACTGGAAGCAGGGCTCTACGTGGTCCTGCTGTTGCATCGCCAAATAAAGACCTAATAATCAGGATTTTAAGTCTTTTCTTTTTTTATATTATTTAGGGAATATTTTAGAATCAGAATTGGTTTTATTGGTGCTTTACACCCACACACACACAAGGAATTAGATTTGGCACAGAGGCTTCCAGTGTACATAAAGTGACAAGAAACATGTAGCAAAAAAAAAACAACAACACGAAAATAAACATGAGAAAAGATGACAAACTTTGTACAGGAGAGAAAGAGAAGAGCAAACAACCGTCATCTGTCAGTGACCCATACTGACTGATAATGCTTATTTTTAAATTTAGACACGTGCACACACGTGCACACTCGTGCACACACACACACACACACACACACACACACACACACACACACACACACCTGCCTTAAAGAAAGAAAGTCCTCAGGCACTGGAGCATTTGAAAGTCATATCTGTAAGAGTATGCATGCAGTGTCAATCAGCTGATATAGACACAGCTTTTAAATGCTCCAGTGTCCATGTGGGCGCAGTTGTAAACTGGCGATTATTGAAGCCAATCTCAGTTATATCTGTCGGTTGCATGATAACAATCTGCCACTCAGCAGTGCTCCAAATGCAAGTGGGAAATACTGCTATCATCAGATATTTATTAATTTAAGTACATACCTGTTGAAGTCTGGTATCTCTAACAGCACCGTATTATGAACACCTAACAACTGCAGTCGGAGAAAATCTGAAGCAGCGCTTCTCATAGGATAAGAAAACTCACTCTCTTGAATAATTATTAGAAACTGATGTGTCATTAGAGTACTCGCAGATGTATGCTACATCACCAAAAGTGATGCTGCTGCCCCATGTAGATGTTAAACCCAGAAGAAGTAAATAGGGGAGAAAAGCTTACAATCAGCCAGTTATTCCTTATAATTAAAGCAAATTAATTGTATTAAAATTAAACAATAGTTAGTTATTCATTTATTGGTTTTCTTTTTGGCTTAAGTTAACTTATTGAGCATATGTTTAACGCAGCAGATGCCCTTCCTGCTGCAACCCATCTCTGGAAAACACCCATGCACTCTCATTCACATACATACACTACAGACAATTTAACCTACTCAATTCACGTATACCACATGTCTTTGGACTGTGGGGGAAACCGAAGCACCCAGAGGAAACCCACGCAAACACAGGGAGAACATGCAGACAGAGATGCAGACAGAGATTAATTAGAGATTTTAGTCTAATTAACAGAGACAACTCTGCTCATAACACATAAACAGAAGGTTGTGCAGGCAGTAAATCACTGATTCAAGAATGACTCAGAAAGTTATACATTTATTAGTGAGCATAAAGGGAAGTCTGAAGCTGAGACTAAGGTTTGTGTATATGTCTTTAGCTTTATATATTGAATAATTATTAACTGTGTTAAAGTTGAAAATTCAATAGCCAAGATCAAGTTCTATTTATATATCGATGACAGTGTCTGGCCACTAGATTGAGCCAATAATATATCAGAGACAAAATGGATGTTACCACATACAGAACTATTAAAGTGACAGTTTAAGTAATTTTTCCAGTTCGTTAAAGCAATGTTTTACCTTTGCTTTAT